TCCTGGGACTAAATTTTCCCCATATTTAGCTATCCACTAGCAGATGCTGCTCTGGAGCAAACAGATGCCCCGCATGAACCCAGAGTCACTGAGTAGCAGCCAGCTGTTCCAGGGGAGGGTGGGTCGCTATGTACATTACACGACACAAACTCTTTTTTCAGCCGACGGGTTTAGTGACGACAGTGGCATTCTCTCACGCTGCACTGCTGCCAAAAATGTGGCAGAGTAGGGAACTACCGAGTGTTGGAAACATTAGCCCTCAGAGTGGGCCACTGGTAGATGGGCTCTCCCACATTCTAATAGTGGACCGGGAGACACGGATTGTAGCTGTACCACATGTTGTGTAACCCTAGCTCCCTGATAGGCACTCTATCCTTCGTGAATGCATGCACACACTCTGAGCTAAAGGGAGAGGTACAGATTGATTTGTACACACGAGTACACAACAACACACAGAGTGTATTAATAGTATATACCTGTAACATGATACATTCAGCACAAAGCTACAACATAACTGCTACTTTAATACTCAAAACATGCATCAACAATATTCAGAGGAAACTAAGAAGGTGACAAGACAAAGTGCTTCTGTTTTTACAAATAATGGGGAGGCCCAGAGGTATAATATGCAAATGTGAGCCACCTAGACCCTTCAACACGCACACATGCACACACACACACACTAACAGGATAATACTACCTGGTTTAAGTTACCGAGTCGTTGGTTAATGTTACCACCCTCTTTGTCGTTATGGCAACACAGCAGCGTATTTCTGAGTCGTATCCTGTTTCCAAGTGCGGCTGTGATATTTTGTTTCGCCCGTCCTCTCTCCCTATTTCTATCTCACTGGCTGGTTGTTGGTTTGTCCCCCACACCTGGCGTTGGTAACACGAGCACGCAGAGCGGGTGTCGCGACATTTGATCAGAGCTAGAGTGTCACGCAGGGACGCCTGCACACATGTTTGTAGCAGACCTCTGCAGAGTATGCAGTCACCTTGTCTCTACATGTACTGCGTGTGGTGTGTGTGTGTGTGTGTGTGTGTGTATGGTGCTCAGTGCAGGGACAGGTATGGGTACGTAAGAGTGTGTGATACTTAGCCAGGAGCTAAATAGACATGTGGGTGGGCAGGTCTGGAGAAGATAATGCTTACGTATGCGTGCCACTGACACACACTGTGCCCAAACACAGCGACTGACTGAATTTTTTGTACCGTGCAAATGTGAGGGTGATGGTATGCCCCTAGACTAAAATTATAATTCCCTCACACTGTGGTTGAACTGTGCAAATGTAAGGGTAAACCTGTTTGTTGTTATATGGGAACATGGACTAAAATTATACGTATATGTGGACATTGACTGTGTTGAATTTTCAAACCTTTCGGGAGCTATAGGTACACCATGCAAAAGCTGTGACACTATGCACTAAAATGGGTTGCTCCTTCTTGCTGTATATTCCTTGCCTCGGCCCAGTTATTTCCCTAGCTAACGTATGCAGTGGGATGCACAGTGTTGCCTCTCGCTGTCCTGTGCCCAATGAGGTGTCCAAACCCGATTATGCCTTCAGTATTGAAGTGTGGACACACTCGCACAGCTACACACCTCAGGGGATAATCAAATATAGCCCGTGCTCCAATGGGCTCCTGCTATGCACTGGCGGCGCTATCCGAGCAATGTTGGGGAGTGTAGGGCACAATACGATTATCCCTGGCTCTATATGGCATCCCATTAATACGCTAGCTTACAAGGCAGATAAACGAGTTCTCTATAAAGGGCCTGATTTAATTCGCCTATGAAACTTCTGTCTCGTATAATACATCCCAAGAACCTGCATACTGGTCTTGCACAGAGGGGAAGGAATGTGTTAGCATAATATATCTCCTCGCCGTCATCCCATCCCCCGAAACTGATAGTCTGCCATCTTGAAAACTGAGAAACTACGCACACACGCCATACCGTAGGAACACAAACAAGCCCGAAGCCTCGTTGGAAGGGTGAAGACTCGAGAACATAGTAAAGAAACAAACAAGGAAAAGGGCATCAGTGCTGCTCCAGTGCGTGTGTGTGTGTGACCTCATCAGTTTATACTTGGAAGCATGCAGTTGCGGAGTAGGCACTGTTTTCATTTTCAGGGCCAGGTTCTTCCCAAAACATTCAAAGCCGGTCCCCTAGTAACAACATGTGCTGAGATTGAAATTTGACTGTGCTATGTAAACCCAGTGAAGCCTCTCTCCGTGTCTCTCTCTCTCTCTCTCTCTCTGCTCTAGGAAATTGAGTTTCCTTCTCCTTGTCTTCCTGCCACATAGTGTACATTATGAGGCCACAAGCTGTCTGAGATTTATAGTTGCAGCAACATGTTGTTACGGGAAGCAAAAACCGTGTGAAATAACTGCTCGTGCCCGACTTGGGAAAGAAAAAAGAAGGGCCTCACTTGTATCTATAAAGACAAAACGATGAGAGGCTAGCAAATTGAGATACATGTATGTACATACATGCACAAGTTGCGGAGAGCAGTCAGTATGACGACATACTTATAATACGAGATTAAACGAGGTATCAAAAAGGTTTGTGAAGCATATAAATATGCACAGGTAACTACTTGCAGCAGGTTGCTCATGTACAACGGCCTGAGTTTCTTCAAACCACAGACACCACCATTTGCTTTATCTTAGTTGCATTTAATTATTATTATGAGGACTGTTCAAGCATGTGGTAGTTAATGGTCTCAACAAAAGTAATAACAGTCAAATGAGCTTATCACAAATGGAATGTGTCCAAGTATGTAATTCAAGTCCCTCGTTATCCATTTCCTCATCTGTCGTCCAATTAAAAATGCACTTGTGCACAATATCCAATTACCAGTGTTAATGAAATTATGACCCGAAAATATTTTGTAGAGAACTGAGATTGGGGTGTCTCGGCCGTACCCTGCAATAGATGGCTGAACTACTCTGCTATTGGTCCCTTAAATTCGTTTTTCACAGCTAGGTGTGTTGGCTTACTGTACAAGCCATTTGCACCTCTTTATTCGTTGTTGAGTGCAAGCAAGAGCGTATTTGTACAAGCCGGTTACACCTGTGAGACGAACTCATGAATAATCATTATTATTTGAGAGTCGTCCCCATTCAGCTTTTTGTGGGGGGGCTTTAGTTGCCAGGCGACCATTTGTTCCAACGTATAGAGAGTTAGTTGTAATTGATGTCCAGTGAGTCATTCACGTCTAGTGAGTAGAAGTGCAGAAGCATTGGCCGTGTGAACAAGGTGTTGAAAGCCGTTCTATGGAGGTCTACTTGTCGGCAGACATTGATGTTGGGTCACTGCGCACAGGGCACATTGGGTCAACAGTGTTGTTCTAATGAGGCGATCGGCGTGCTCCTTGCCCACTGTTTCGCCCGCCGGTGCTTATCACTTGACGAAGTGACTTGTCGGCACCCCTGTACCCCTGTACCCCTACAACTGCATAATACTTATTATGCCCGCAGGACAATTCAAACTTTTGGTCTTCACTGTATAATGTTCTGTCCAAACACAAGTGTAAACAGGTCATACAGCAAAACAACTAACCCTAGGAACTGGGAACGGCCAAACTTTCTGTAGAGGAAGTGGTGGAAAAGTATGCGTCTTTTTGGTGGTGTCCTGACTTCCTTGCAAATTTGATACCTCAGAGCTTGATACCACTTGTCAATGGAGTGTTTGTAGTTGCACCCAGTGGTTTAGTTTTGAAATTCAAACAGAGGAAGTGCTATGTACACTGGCCCAATTCACCGCAGATTCTATCTCCCAGAAAAGAAATCCTTGACTTGATCTAGATAAAAAGGCTCAATAGGCCATCAATGGAAGCAGTTAGCTCTGATCCTCCTGGTTTTCCTGTCCAGGTGGTAGAGAGGAAGGCATAGTTTATGGTTGGATGGAGTGGGCGGTGGTGTGGTGTATGGTGCTTTTGTGAGGGGAGTGAGTAGGCCTGGGCAGATTATTCCGGAATAATTTTGGGAATAATAGGCAGTACAAATAAGGGAGAATAATTCCGGAATAATAGGCTGCTTTTTAGCTGTGGGGGCTGGGCAAGCATGCGCGTTTCTGCATGGGGGCTAGATACCAATGCCTGTGGAGGTAGTGAAACGGTGGTCGCCAAAGCTTCAGTAAGAATTGAGGCTGGGTCTGAGATTGGCACTGCTAGAAAGATTGCCGAGTTCCCCACGAGTTTTCTTCAAAGCACGCCGTATATATAGTTAGCTATAATTATACAGAGACTACACTTACAATCCCAAATTGATGCATATTTCTTGAGGATACTTGAGATTAATAATAGGGAGAATTGTGTGGGAGCTTTCATAGGAATTGAGGAAAAGAATAATAGACAAAACAAGGAATAACCCACACAGGTCTAAGAGTGAGAGAGGTGATGATGGGATGGGGTGACCAAGTATGAGGCTAACTTGTAATCCTTATCTCCTAGTTGCTGAGTGGACAATTGCAAGAACTAGTAGCCAGTATAATATACTTAGTGGCATGGTTGGCCTTCCCTTTGGCACTTATGAACAGTAAACATGTCTCTAGCTTTTGGTAAACAGTAATTAGAGAGATGATTGGTCGTAGTGTAAATATAAACACTGTTTTCCCCTCTTTCCCTGACCTGAACATACACTGTAACCACTTGCTGGCAATTCAAGTTGTTGGTTGCAGCTTTGTTACGTGACTAATGGATCATACGTCAAACAATGTGTGTGTCCTTCTGTTGTTCTTTGGACCTTGCTGAGGATTAAGTTCATGACAGAGTGGCATGGTCTGACAATTGAATACATCCTCCACATAGCGCTTGTTTATAATAATATTCTAATGGAATGTGATGGCCTAGTGATTCAATCAAGAATATTATGCACACGTGATCAGTTCATGTATAAGGTAAATCTATCTGTGCCAGAAGTTTGTACGGTTAAATATAAAAATATTTTGAAGCCCTAGTTGTGCAACCTCTTTAGCTCTCTAACCCTTTCCCTCCCAGGCGGCAGGGAAGTATCGCCAGCAGGGACGGAACTACATTGTAGAAGATGGGGACATAATATTTTTCAGGTTCAACGCCGGAGCTGGACTAACTACGAAGAAAAAGTAGTTCTTGCAATTTCTTTCTAGCAATTTATATACAACCATTACGTGAATTTTATCGTGCTTATTATTAACACTGTCGTATGTACATTATTACGTACACGCAAAGAAATTTCAAAAATTATCTCGGTATTGTTACAATCAGTTGGAAAAAGTGCAGTGAATCATGTCGGAATGTGGTTTAATTGGTTAAGCATTGCTGGTGCTTAAAAATGGTGCAAACATTAGATTATACATGTAGACCTGCCAATTTCAAGTGATGAGAGGGAGATTCATAATATTGTAGATACAAGTGAAAAATCACACCTCTATTGTGTCGGAAAATCAGTAAGTGTGAGCGTAAAAAAATAGGAAAGGGATGGATGAGTCGGGAGGCAAACTATTAGAGGGTTTTTTTAACTGCCGAGAGGAATGACAACTGGAAGATTGGGACAGAACACTCGGATATAACGGGGCATTGGTTCAGTTGACCGGGACGTCGCTGAAGAGATCGTCCTCGAGCGGAAAAGCACACGAGTTGGTAGAGTCGGCATCGGAGGTGATAAACTCGGGTTGCTGCTCGGAGTCCAGTGGTGGGAGCTCGAGACTGTCTGGGCAGTTGGTTCCCCCTCCTGCAGTGCTGCCACTGTTTGCCTCCTTCTCTCGCAGCTTCTGGTGGGTCTTGGTGTGCTTGTTGAGGTGGTCGCTGCGCATGAACCTCTTCCCGCACTCGACGCACACAAACCTCTTCTCCCCCGTGTGTGTCCTGAGGTGTCGCTGTAGTTCGTCCGAGCGAGTGAACCGCTTCCCACAGTAGAGCCAGTGACATATAAATGGCCGCTCACCCGTGTGCCAGCGGATGTGTGCGCGAAGGTGGGACGTCTTTCCGTACACCTTGGAGCAGTTGGGATAGTGGCACACGTGCTGTTTCTTTCTCGGAGAGCCGTCCGGGTTAGTGGCCTTGGAGTTGGCGCCACTGGCACAGTTGGGGCAGGTGCACGCCACACGTCTGAGGCGCCTCTGCTGAGCAGGAAGGGCCGCATCGAAGAAGTCAGTTCCAGTAGGAGCACATACTGTGGTCCCCCCACCGCCACTGGGCCACGAAGGGAAGCTGTCCAGGTGATGGAGCTGAGTCGATGCAGCGGAAGGTTCATGAGAAAGACTGTTCGGAGGAGCAGAGAGGGGAGGAGGAGGGAGGCAAGAAGGAGAGATCGGGGAGAGCGGGCGGACGATGTGGTAGGCAGCAGAAGTTCCGGGAGGGTACGTAAAGGAGAGGGTTTGGCCAGCAACGGGCAAGGGCGGGGCTGACCAAGGGGACGGCCCCACCGCTACAGCGTGGACCGAGACTGGCGGCATGGAACTGTCGCTACCACTGCCGGCAGCACTCCCGGAAGGTAGCTGAGGATGCTGGTGCTGGGACGTCGACCACCACTGTTGCGCCGCCACTTGTTGCGCAGTGGGACTCGCGGAACCGCCCGCAGAGTCCGCGGAGAACGGGCATGGGGATGCAAAGTTGTTCCCGCCGTTGCAGGCCGGAGAATGCGCCTCGGTCTTGGCTATCAGTGGTGGTGGTAGGCCTGGACAAGTAGTAGGTGAGGAGAGGCTCGGTTGACAGACCGCGGCCGAAACGAGCGGCGGGGGTGCAAGGGAGTGTGGAACTATTCCTTGCAAGTGATGAACCGTCGGTTGCACATAATGTCGTGTGGTCGGGTCGCCGTTTAGAAGTGAGGTAGCCGTGTTAATATTAGTAGAGGCCTCGGAGATTCCGCCGCTTAGGCCCATGTCCGTCTCATGTACGCTGGGAGACAGCACGCCGCTAACCGAGGCGCTGTAAGACGGAGGGGGGACGGCAGTCGAGGGAGAGTGAACGTCGCAGGTGAACTGAGACTTTGAATAAGTGAACGGAGCCGCAGAGTAGGGAGGGGAGTGGAATGTTGCTGCTGAAACGGGAGAAAGCGCTCCCACGAGTGTTTCGCCGCCGACGGCATTGTAGGACTGATACTGCGAGGACGGAGGATTCACGTAAACGACGGCCGTACCGGGCTGGGTACTGGAGATCTCAGCGTACTGCAGATCGCTGAGACTCCCGGCCGAAGTCGTCAACTCGAGGTGCTGGGTACCCCCCGCAGGTTCAAACGTCGCCGCGTCCTTCAAGCCGACGATGGCATAGTCGCCGTGCTTCTGGAACAGGCCGTCGTGCCGTTGCTGCTGCATACTGCACACCGAGGATAGCAGCTCCAGAGAAGTCGTGCCATGGTGCTGTAAGAAAAAAGACAGAGGGAAAAGCATCATTCCGACACAGCTTTGACAGCAGCCTGATTACACGGCGACAGTACTACAAGCAAGCAATGTAGCTAGAGATAGCTAGTTTTTTAGAAGTGAAAATGAAATGTCTGGCTCACCACGTCCTCAGTGTATCTCTCCAGGCAGTAGTATCTAGGCTTCAAAGTTTCCATATAGCACTCCGCAGTGAGGCTGCACCGTCGAAACTGAGGCGAAGTTTGATTTTGCGCCCTTTTATAGCACGCGCCGTGGCGGTACGCGGTGGTACAAAAAAATTAATACGCGTGGGGGGGGCCGGGTTTGGGTTTGTGTGGTCAGGCGCGTGTGCAGATCAGGCGCGCGTATATACCCTAATTTTTTACATAACATCAAAAAATTTTATACACACAATACATATTTTGTCACATTCATATTTTACAAGTATGTGATGCAATTGAAATAGGAAAATAATGTGGTAACAAAAGTACAAATTCCTTCAGAGGGAGAGGAGAGTGAGCGAACGTCCATTCTAGTTAATGCTCACTTGAGCCACGGTGCAAGGAAGTTGCTGGCTGTTCAATTGTAAAACGAAGAACCGAAAAGAAAGCTTGCCAAAGGCATCCGAAGTGCACGTCGTGTACATGGGGGTAGGTTGAGTTTGAATGCATGCGAGGCAAGAATGTTGGGTAACTGAAGTGTGAGTGAATGAGCAAAACAGGTGTGGGGCGACATCACAGTCAGTTTACAATCAAATTTCGTTTTCTTGCGTTGAATCATTGGACGGGCTGTGCGGTCTGTAACACGACCTCTGCAACTCCCTCGGCCTTGGCCTCGATCTCGTTGAGGATGCCCTGGACCTCTGCATTGTTCTCCACCTCATCCGACCCCACCATCTCCCCCTGCCCCTGCCCTTGTGCGGTGATCTCTTGCGACATCTCCACCAGTGCAGTCGCTGGGTCGGTCAATACAATACTAGCAGCAGCACCTTCGGACTCACCTCCCACCTGCACCACGGTGGTCCCGTTGGCCTGCGTCATGATAATGGCCGGGTTTACGGTGTCCATGGCCTCTTCGGACTGAACGGTCTGAACTGTTTGCACGATCTGAGGGATGGTCTCGATCCCAGACTGGGAGGCCTGGTCCGGGTTGATCTCGACGATGGTGACCGTTACGGGGGTGGTGTTGGACAGGGCCGAGGTGCTGGTGGCCTCCTGCATGGAGATGATTGTCCCGTCGTCCATGAGCTTCCTCGGGGAGGCCTTTGTGCTGTCCTTGAAGTGTATCTTCATGTGCTTCGAGAGGTGGTCGCTTCGCATGAACCGCTTGTCGCAGTGCTTGCACTGGAAGTTCTTCTCGCCGGTGTGCGTCTTGAGGTGGCGATGGAGCTCGTCTGAGCGGGTGAACTTGCGATCGCACAGCGGCCAGTTGCACACGTACGGCTTCTCTCCGGTGTGTGTGCGAAGGTGGGCTTTCAAGTGGGAGGTTTTCCCGTATATCTTTCCACAGCTCGGGTAGTGGCAGACGTGTGTGCGACGCTTGGGTCGCTCGCCCGTCTTTTGGATCTCGACGCAGTTGGGGCACACGCAGTTGGAGCGTTTGGTGGTCTGGCGGGTGTTTGGTGGCGTGAAGACAAATGGGATGGGTCCGTTGAGCGACACGATGGGCGTCTGTCCACCCTGCGAGTCGCCCATCGTCGTGCTGACTTTAAGCTGGGGGTTCATGCTCAGGAGCGTCTGGAGCGTCTGGACGCTGCTCACGCTGAGCGGGATGGGGATGCCTTGGATCTGGGCGGTCGTCGTAGTGGAACCTTCTCCATATCCCCCACTGATGCCATCGGATGTACCCTCCCCACTCGAGGTGGTCGTGGACTGGGCAATCACTGCTACAGGTATATTGGGGGGGAAGTTGGCGAGACTGAAGGGAAACTGTGTCCCCTGGGCCAACGAGGCTGGGATGATGAGTGGGACGGTCCCTCCGCTGGCCGTAGGGATCTGGATTTGTATGGTGGAGACCTGGGGGCTTGCTATGGGGCTGTTGGAGCTGTCTGGCGTCTGTGGGATGACGACCTCCTCGGAGACCTGAGGAGTGCTTGTCGACACAATTATGGTGTTCTCACTCGAACTCGGATGTTCCTCAAAGTTCTCCGGTTCTGAGGTCGGCTCTTTTTCAAACTGTGGGAGGGGGGTTTCTTGGAGGGCTTCTGTGTCAGGCTGGTGTGTCACGTGCACAGTCACGACGTTTCCGTTGACGACATCAGACGATCCCGGGAGGGAGATCAGACTATCGTCCAGCTCCTCGTCGTCGTTCCCGCTCGCTGATTCGACGGTCACGTGACCATCTGCCGCCTCGACTTCTTCGGTCGTCTGGCTTTCCCCGGACTCCGTTGCCTCCATCTCCTGAGTAACCTCGCCCTGCCACTGGTCGCCGGGTACCCCTGGCTCCTCCTGGTACAGCTCCTGGAACAGCGGCACAGGGAGAGACACAGAGTAAACTTGGACCGGCACCACGCGCACCACCTTCACGCCGGCTACTGCGTACATAACCCAGCACCTCCCCGGAACGGTAGCCCCGCGCCAAACACCTGCAGAGTCTATACTCGGGGCTCAGAAGCTCAGCTAGGCTCGGCTCGGCTTTGAGGTGCGTAGGCTTTCTCCTGCACCTTTTCTAGACCGAGGGAGCGCGCTAGAGCCGCGGCACAGCGCACGCAGCTCGGACGCGACGTGCACACTTCTAGTGGAGCGCCAACGTAGACCCCAGTGTCTCCAAAATGGCGCCAGCACGGATCCCGGATCCCTACTGAGTAAACTCACCGACATAGGCCCCCAAGGCGTGGTTGTGGTTATCGCTCTCTCAGGAGGCTTCCGCCTTTCACCAGTCGTATTGTCCTCAGATTTCTTGCGGGATCTCGACCGACATTCAACGGGTAGAAGGCCCGCTGAAATCTTCGACGAGTTGGGAGGGGTAGGACAGCCCTCTTGGATGAATTCACACGGCAAGGCCACAGAGAAGCGAGGGGTGGTCCGAATAAAGCGCCTCTTGCTCCGCCCTTGCCTCAAGAAAGATAATTAAAATTGTCACGCGGTGATCACGCGAGTTTAATAAATCACGTGAGTTGAAGATGCGCGCGCGCAAAATTTAGAAAAGCACACACCACATGACAAAAGGTCAAGTAAAATGTTTGGGAGAATCGAATCTGTCCAGAAGTTTTTGAATGAGGGAGTTTGGTTTGGCTCTGTGTTTTTTCCTGTTCAGGTGCCCCAGTGAAGGTTTTCCGTGGCCCACTGTAGTAGACTGCTGCTGGAGAGACAGCTCTTCATACAACTGTTTCTTCTGGCCCACGTCTGGTACGTTCTTTGAGACACTGCGACCAAATAAATCATCCAAAAATGTATCTACTGTTACCCACAAACACACAATACTATATGCATAGTGTATTTGGCTTTATCAGGTCAACACCATGCGGCAGCGATGGGATGGACATGTGACAGTGCCAAGAGGGGTAATACACATTTAGAATGAAATGAGCATCCGGGACACACCCCTTTAGCTATGCAGTGCAACTACAGTACATGCAGGACACAAAGTATCCCAAAAAATGCCGGTAAGTGACCTTGTTTCATGCATGTGCACTGCTTTCCAGAGATAATTATCCCCAACTTAATGATGTGCATTGCATATTAGTTAATTTGTAGTACTAGTCTATGACAGTATGGTATCGGCATACTTGGTGAGTAGAGGACTGTGAAGGATTGAAGCAGCAGTAGGTTGAGATTGGTAGTTACTGCCCGGCTGTATCTGCCAGAGAGAAAATATAGTACATACACAAATAGCTCGGGTTATGTTTCCATCCTTGAGTATATCTTGTCACCATACAATTGTCGTCCCCCCTATTATAGGCACACTTTTGTTCCCTTTGAAAAATTAATGCAACGAAACTGGCAGCATTCAAATCAAAGGCAGTTGATAAACAGACGTGTGAATATCAGTAATACATCAAGAGAGATAGCTCCCTTAGTTCAGTGTTTGTTTGTGCGATATCTCACCTGGATCTCATCATAGTAGGCCGATGGTGTCCATATCACCCTCTCCCCGCGCCTGGTAATTGAGGGGGAAAGACTTTGAGCATTATGTAGGTGGGTGTGTGTGCACGTGTGGTTTAGAGCAGTTTTAGTGGGTGGCTTCTTTAAAAAAGGTTGCCCCCTTTTGGTTGCCATCCGAATATCCACAATATTAACCCCCGCAGTGCATGCGCAGTAAGGGTTGCAATACTTCTTTGTGTGTGTCTGTCAGTCTGTGTGTTTGTTTATCTGTGACCACTGTTCCAGCACTACAGGCTACGAGGCTGCCAAACAGGGATACCAGAGTTAGATAATAAAAGGTTGGAGAGTTATACCAGTGTTACATAGAGGTGGGCATCCCGGAGCCAATGAGCCAATTTTGGCTCTTAATTGGCAGTAAAGCTAATGATATTATGGGTCGGTTAGTGGCTTTTTAAAATTGAACTGGAGCCCACCCCTGAGTGTAACGGAGAGTGCCACTCGGAGAGATATCAGGCCAAGAACTGTCGGTGTACAAATACCCCATACACATGGAGATGACGAGTGTTTATGCATGATGTGTAGGGTGAGTGTGTGTACTGTAACGAATGGTTCGTGAACACGAATAAAGCCAGCAGAAAGTTACTCGGAAGACAAGTATATACCCAGTCCAGCTTTGCACGAAGCGCTAATTGCTGAGAGCCAGGAGGAAATGACATCATCAGAGAGCTCATTGCATGGTCCTGCCCATCAATTAGTGGCACTTTATGCACATGCTTAGAGCATAGTGTACATTGCACGAGTGTGTGTGTGTGTGTAGCCAGACATACCTGAGAATCTGTCTCCTTATTTGCCTTCTGTACATCACTGGCGAGGAGGTTCCTGTAATCAAAAAGAGAGAGAGTCAATTTTAGAAGTTCTTGTTTGCAGTGATTGTTTTGTATCAAAGTTTCTCCAACTGACTGTGAGTTGTAGGCAACACAGTCATAGAAATTTACATCCCTAATGTTTCAATGCTGTGCAACTGAAATGCTTACGAAAACCACCTTAAGATTCTAACTTATGCACCTGCATTTGAGGTAAAAGGTGCTATGAGAGTGACCCGCCAATAAAACATGTGTAATTTTTACTACATGTGAATGAAGTTAAGTGTGGCACACTATTTATATGTGGTTTTTCTGCATGGAAAAAAGTTGAGATGTGGAGTTTGTTTGCAAAGAAATAGTTTGAGGGTGCTAGAGAGACAGACAATGGTCTTGGCTCTCATGGTTTTCATACAGCAGGAAAATTGCATTTTTGTGTACTTCGCGGTCATCTTTCTCAGTAGACGGGGAAAATAATGTATTGCAATATCATGAAATTCGCGTTTGCCATCAAAACGCGAAAGCATATCCCCGAACGAAAGTTTCCCGCCATGTGGGATTTAGAACTGTGGCCTGAATTTGAAGTCGATTGCTTCCACGTGTGTCATGGCACCTAATAACAATTTCCTCGGTGGATGAGAACTGTACACAATGGGAAATTTAGAAACCTCATGAAGACCGTATGTACTCCACGCGTAATATCCCGTGGGCCGAGGCTTCGTACTATAAATGGTAAAGTCCTTGTGCATATAATAGTGCTGCAGGTTTTGCATACATACAGTGGTACATACGTAGTTAGGTAACGAGGAGTAAGAAGAAGAACCAAACATGTACGCAAACACATTGTTGAGTGAACATCACTGATCTAAACACTTTGGGACTGTGTCCAGATTGGTGGAAGTTCGTACTGACATCATGCGGTGTCACAGTGCATGTCCAAATCTACGTCATTGCATTCGAGATGATGACAATTCAGTATACTTGCTCTTCTATTACTCGACCGCCAAGCACTCATTAATTTTCTAAGTTGCATAAGTTTCGTAAGTAACCGTCAGCTACTGAAAGCTGAATGTCAAAAGTTCCAGAGTTTGGCTTACATTACACTTGGCACACAGCGTCATAGAACTGTGGTGTGTGACATAACTCACGTTGTGATCTTGGTAAGGGCTCAGCTCCAGCAGGAATCTACAGAACAGAGCATCATGTAGGGATTCTTGTTATTAGCGAGCAAAGCCAACCATCCCAGTCATCTGAATGTGGAATTTTATCGGTATGTATGCACGGGCACTGCCAGATACCGTAATGTTATATGTGATTCTAAATACGCGTGAAACTGCACGAAAAATCTAACTGCTCACTTCGCTCACCAAAAATGTGTTGCATTTCTCTAGTTAGCATACGTGCCAATACTGGTTCACAGTCTATTAATGTACGATTGTGCTGGGAACGTCTAATTGATAGGCAACCACCATCCCACTGAGCTCTTCCTGGCAGCTGTATGCTAATAAAGTGAGCCCTGAGTTAATTAAACCACTATGGGAATACTCAGGCCTTTTGTGTTTGTAATTGCATTTAGACCCTCAGATGGCTGGCACTTGAGCCCTAGACCACAGTTTAAGAGCAGCTTGTATACACATCCACTTGACTGAATGGTTTTCTCTTAAAAGTTCCACCCCACTGTAATCCCTTATTGTTGGATATCCCTAGGCAACCAACATGTATGAAGCTAGGTACTGGGGGATTTTATCAGCCATCCTACATGTGCAAGCAGGGTTCATACATGTCATTTGCCTAGGGATATCCAACAAATCTGTTGCAGTATATACCCAGACAGGACAGCATTCACTACAGGGCTCATGCTGTCCTGTCTGGGCACTGCAACATGTGGGAGACCCTTGAACCACTATACTACAGTTGGATGGGGAAATGTTCTATACAAAGATCATTTCACAAGTCTGTTTACAGTATTGAGGTAAGATTCTCCTGGTGTACTTGGGGTACCAGCACCTGTTTCGAACCTCAGTAATATTTGTCATTACATCACGGTCAAATTCCTCCAAAAATCAAGCAAACTCTCTCAGTGTAGGTGTTGGGCTGTTTCTGCCCCTCTATAGGCTGAACAAGCCCAGTAGCCCAGGAGTTCCGTGTGTGCAGAATTACGTATACACACTACGGACATGTCCAGTGTTTATTGTGTGGCAAAGGTTTCCGTAGGGGAACCCTTAGACTATGGTATAGAAACAGAGCTGCGTTTTAAACACGATTCACCTTTTTCTTTGGTTGGCTGCGAGGACTACTGCCTTGTTTCCTGCTCGATATTCCAGTCGTGTCTACAGTGGGAAAGAACACACGTAGCCATAGCTTTGAGTACAGCTTTGATTCGAGCACAGTGTTTGGAGTAACAAAGCAAACATTGTTAATTAGTAGAGGGGACGACAAATTTGTTTTGTTTATGTTGCAGAGCATCCTGCACGTGTGTGTGGCTGGCGGTAATGACTTCATCAGGACCGTTCCTACAGAATAAGCCACATAGTTCGGCCGGCCATATAAGGATGCCACTACTTGACATTGTTTGGCTTCCATAGACACGAGCTCACAGAGTATCTAGTTTCTTCTCATTAGATTACTTACCGCTTGGAGTTGTGGCCAATTAAGTAGCCATGTTTACGAGGGGAATAACCCATGTCCGCAAAATACATAACTGCACAGTAACCTAGGGGCATAGCACCTCTGTAAGTTCCGGAAGGGTTAAACGAGTGGGGTGTCCCCTTCGTTATAAACTTCCTACACTGAGCGGTACAATTAATTACTACGTACAATAGAAGTGGCAGCCTTAACGTTAGAGCAGCACAGGGTGCAGGAATTTGTATACTCCACTAATGAACTCTATTTCGCCAGGAACTATTCCAAATTTAAGCGTAGTATTAATCTCTTACTTGCCCCCCTTGATATAATCTCACCACTGTAGGGAGTTAGAGAGCAAATCTTTACACAGTCAGTGTTTTGCAGGCCAACTGATTGCCAGCAATACAGCAATAAAGGTGTAAGGCGGTATAAGTGCAGATTCAGACACAGTACTGACATCACTATGGGGCTGACAAACTGTCTCCTCCACTGTACACAGACACACGTGGCAGTGGTCTTCAGGGATTCAGTGGTTTAAGGGATTCCCTTTAGGCACACTGTGCGGTTTGGTAGCACACTGCCTCACCACCCACACAACTCATCAGTTATTTTAATACTTGGAACTTCCTCCTTTGGCAGACACTTAATTAAGAACACCAAACACACTATCACATGCCCACCCACACTGGCTCTGAATAGGTATGTAAGAGCTGGAATTGGTCTATATATCACAAGCACATCTACACCAAGTGTGGCTGGGGTCTATGTGTCTAGCAGTGGTTACTGGCCGCACTACCACATGTTTATATAGCTCAGGTACTCAGGCACCAGTCACACAGATTGGTTAACACATGTTTTGGTTTTCCTCCACCAGACTCTGCTTTGCAACATTCATCTAGTAAATACAGCGGCAAGCTTTTAATCCAGCAAAAAACCTGCCTAGATCTAACACAGGAGAGTGCAACAACGCCATATTGCTACGTATCAAAGGAAGGAGAGTATGCATACTTGCCCACTAAATATACAATTTGCGGGATCCATTAGCGAACTTATCAAGGGGGAATGGAGGACTGACCTTGTCTGGAGCTCCCTGTGCTGCTGTGCTGCAGTGCCTGTTTGGCTCTGAGGATTGCCTCTCTCTCTAGTACAGCCCTCACTGTCTCTGAAGTCGGCCAGGGTTCAGGAGA